ATAGCGCCAGTGGGCAAAAGACGTTGGATACGAACGTCGGAAAGAGCGAGATCGTAAGAAAAGTGGCTTTATTCGCCCCCCATTTGGCCTCGATAACAAAACATCCATATATTGGAGCATAAAATGGTATAGACTGATAAGCTGCTTACAGTCATGACAACTGACGGCAAAAGACAATTACAGCGTTTTGACCAACGACGAGAAATGCAACATAAAAACACAACACGGACGCGGCAACAAGGGACGGGACCCAATAAAACTCGAGCCACAAACAAAGGAGTGACCAGTCAAAGAGCCACGTTTGTTGTGCCTTGAAAACGGGAAATAAGCATATTATAATCTTGACCCTCGAGCCAAAATACCAGCAAACGGGTAGCCGCTATATATGCAGTAAAGAGAGGCCAAAGCCTTTGCAGGAAAAACAACAGACGACAGCTGCGCCGTTCGTGTTTAGATCAGATGCCTCGAGACCGGCCGCAGTCAGCCGCACCTCTCATGACCATTTCTTTTCTGTCTTGGAAAGTTGAATGGGATTCATCGCCACAAGAGTGAGATCTACGAATACGGATCATGACTTTTTCAACACGCAACTACGCATACGGATACCACCAGAGAACGACACTTGCGTCCGCGGTGTAACGCATCCTTCGAGGTTCGCACACCCTACCCTTGCTTCCTTGCGGCAGAACGGGCCAAGGGGGTAAGAAAAACAATGGCCCCAGAAAGAGGGAACATTGTCCAATCAACAGTCCTTCAAATCGACCACCCCCCTTGTCCACGAACAAGATTAGACTTCATCTCGACGTCCGGGCCCCATGTTCGCGCCGCCGTCGTTCGAACCTCGCTCCGTTTGACTTGCTCCCGTTTTCCTTCAACCGATCGTACCACCTTCTTTCTCGGCACCGCTGCACAATATATTGGAAAGAAGCACAGCTGCCGAACCAGACATGGGAAGGCAATATGTTCTGCATCCTGGTCCGCCACAGAGAGAGCACGGCACGCTGCATGGCAACTAGAACCAGGCCCTCAAGTGAGACTGGTCTCTACGGATACTGCCCAAAGAGAAAGAAAGGGGGTAGGTATCAGCGAAGGGTACGGCCAGCCGGGTACGGATAGTTCCAGCCTCTTCAGCCCTGATGGCCCGGTCGTTTCTTCACCAACAATTTCAAAGCATTCCTCCAAATTGTCAAAGGAAATCCTCATCCCCCAGAAACGCCCACGGCCTCGAGCTAGAAGGCTGGAGAAACACACAAGGCGCGCGTGCGCTGCACAGCATTTTCCGCACCATATTCGTACAAACGGTTGCCCCCTTCCCTTCTGTCCTTGCTTGATGCTAGCAATTCGACGGGGATTGGGGTTGGGTAGCTTCTACAGCCGAAAGTGGGAAGATTTAGGCGGGGATTGGCAGGGACACCGGGGTCACAGGGACCTTTCTTTCAGGGTGAGAAAGGCTCCTCCTGATCCTCTCTGTCTCTCTCTCTCTCTCTCTCTTTGCAGGTCGGGGCTTGACGCCATCACCATATTCCCAGTGTCGGTCCCCAATATCCACTCCCCTTTTTGCTGCTGGCGCTGCTGCAGAGGGCGGATATTGTTTCCTTTTCTCCTCCCCCTCTCTACTTTCCCACTGCCGCTGCTACCTCACTGTCACACGCATATCGGATACATAGAGGGAATACGGGGGCCCTAGCAAAGTAGCCTCATCAATCTCCATCAGTCAAGCAAGAATCCCTGAACCACCAAACCCCTGGAGATGCGGCTTGATGGGGGCCCGCTCCCCCCCTTCCTCCTGTCTGTCCCTCCACTTTGTTGGCTCCTCTGCCTGGAGCAAGAGAGAAAATGCCTGACGGGCCTATCACATATTCGAATTCACTAGCGTAGCGCGCCACTGCTTTTGCCCTTCTTGGCCTAGTCGAGGGGGTGCGTGGAGTTGCTTCTCCTCGATCCTGATGCTAGTTCACTCTCCCACCCCCAGCCAGCGGATGCTTCCCACCCCAAGAGGATCATAAAAGTCCGGATACAACGTTTTGTGATGAAATTGCTGTCGTTCCCTAATTTGCTTAATATACTCCATCTGCCAGCCTTCTGCTCTTTCTTCTCTTTTCCTTTCCCTCCTCCTCCCCTTCCGTAATAAGCCTCCGCCAACCCACTGTTCATCAAAAACAGCTTATTTCGTCTTCGACAAACCTAATTCCCCACGGTTCGTCCAGTCACTCGCTATAGTCTTTGAGACACTTCACGTTCGTTGGAATCACCATACAACCATCGTTCTCGATAACCAATACAACCCCGTAATAATCGACTTTACCGTCAAAGCACTTCCCACACATTCAAAATGAAGTTCTTCTACCCTCTCGCTCTGGCCCTCGCTGCCGTCGTTGCCGCCGCCGATGATGACTGCGACGCCGCTCCCATTGTCGAGGCCTGCCTGACCAGCGAGAACGCAAAGGTAAATAAATCTCTAGAGACACTCTCCCAGCTACAACAACCGACACTAACATCATGTTCTCTCCAGGTCAAGGACTGCAACGCTACCGACTATGACTGCCTCTGCGCCGCCTACCAGGCCGTCGCCACCTGCTACAACAACTGCCCCAAGGACTCCCGCGCCGCGCCCGCCCAGGGCCAGGTGACAATCTACTGCCAGCAGGCCTCCCTCTACGGCTCCGCCGCCATGCGCAAGACCCAGTCCGTCGTCTCGGCCACCGGCTCCGCCTCCGCCGCCGTCGCCTCCAACTCGGCCTCCGCTACCGCCGCCGCCACCGGCACCAGCGCCTCTGGCAGCTCCGCCTCCTCCACCGCCTCGGCCAGCTCCAGCTCCAGCTCCGCCAACATTGGTGTCGGCCAGCTCGCCCGCAACACTGGCGGCGTTCTCCTCGCCGTCGCCGGTGTTGTTGCCGCTGTCCTCTAAACGAACGAAATATCTTTTGCAAAGATGAACGCACATAATCTTCTTCTCTGACCTCTTCAAGGAAAGGGCGGAACCAAAGATACCAAAACATCATGTCATTTAAAGCGATTATGTTTACGGTGCTCAAGAGATTTTCCGGCAATGTTTTTTTTGGTCAAAGACTACAGGACAGTACAGGACCTGATTTAACGGAGCATATGTGGCACACCCGAGCGAGATTTTGGGGCCAAGGAAACGGGGGAACCGGCGAAAGAGAAACAAAACCACCTTTTGTATATGCCTAATCTTTGTAATTACCTAATTCCAGCCAACTCTTCATGAAAGTTCACTTTTCATGGACGAGTGAGAGAGAAACAGGTTCGACAAGAAAGAAAGAGGACAGCATGTGCTATGAATGAGCCCGTTGATGATATTCGTGAAGTCGCTTAAACATATGTTTCCAACTTTTCACTCTTCTGCTGCTGCCCGAGGGAGGTTCAACACGAACCAAGTCCTTTCCGCATCTGACATTCTGATTTGTTGTTTGGCTATGCAATAACTCACATGACACAGCATTGCAAGAAGAAAAAAAGATGGGAACGAACAGCGAGGCAAGACTGACATCTACGGAAACCATTTGTTCAAATGTCTTAAAGAGACTTACTTCCAGTTCTCCAGGTCAACTTTACATACCGTTGCATCCTACTATACAACAACGAGAGGCCAGAAACGAAACAAAATATCACAGAGAACCGAAGAGTTGACTCAGCGACAATTCCACACACGCCCCCCCCCCCCCCCCAAAATTCTAATGTCTTGTTTGAAACATTTCTGAACCTACCTTACCTTAGCGGTCGGGCCAACAACAAACACTACCTACCCTACATGCATTCCCCAGCATCTCGCGCGCATGTATCCGCACCGCATGCTTTTCAGTTATGTTTTTTTTTTCTCCTCTCGTTATTACCTCCAAAGCAAGGAACGTACCTGCTCAAATGCCTCGAGTGTCTCATACTCGTCAGCCCCCCCCCCCCGGACTTTCCTAAATGCTTACCCGTGTGATCACGAATACGTGCAGGGTACACCTCTCTGCTAGGAGTCGAGGACGGTGTCACAGATATGTAGAAAACGGAACAAAGACTTTGGTTCATAAACAACATTGCGGGTAAGGCGAAAAACAAACCCCTCTCTAGATGAAATTGCGACGTGAATCTCGAACCTCGAACCCAGCTAGAGACGTCACATTAGATCCGACCGTTACAGCGATTCTCCAGACCATCTTATTGCAGTATCTACCATATATTATCTACCTTTCTCGGCGCAATGTGCGCGAGTTTCGGCTCGTTTGAAGTCGGTGGAGCGTACCCATTTTGTCGATGATCTTTATCAAGTAGCCGGCCGGACTGACCCCTCGTTCAAGAAATGCCTGAAGTGGGAATTTCGGCGCCAAGAATGTAGACGACTATCAATATCACCTAAAGTCACGTGCAATTCATGTGGACAGTTGAAGATTGGTTGCTCAATGTGAGCTCGTTGTCGTCATTGTTTTCATCAAGCCTTCTTCTCCAACCGCTATGATACAACACGAGTGTCCTCGAATCCTACAGCTGGCTCATAAGCGTTTGTGTCCCTCCTTTGGGAGACCATCTCCCTCTTTCTCGAGTGTCGTCGCGGGCCTCGGTCCCCTACCTCCAGGAGGACTTTGGTCCAAGGCAGCGAAGTTGTAACAGTATAAAGTCTACAAGCAAATAAAGCAAGAAAAAAACAGTACGCAAAAGGCAGACGCTTCCCAACAACCGTGACGCCCGGTTCATATCTCTAACAAGTGACGTTATCATCTCCGGCCACACACGCCACCGCAGCCTGCTTTTTTTTGCCTGTCCTATTTGACCCCTGGTTGCGCAGAGTCGTATGAATAAAGAGGATAATAATAAGAGGGGAAAGAACTTTCGTCGACTAAAAAGGAGTATGTATGCGCAAAAAAGGTCTTGGTCGCCGAAGAAAGCAGTGAAAAGGGGGGGTTGGCGGCAAGTTAGGTGTTGCCTCGGGAAGAGATCTTGTTGCAAAGAAACAGGAGAGCATTTATCAGACTCGAAAGAGTGCCGAAAACGCCCTAAACTTTTCGGGCTCGCTTCGCGCTGTCGTGGACAGGGCTAACGAAAGTGACGTGCTTGTTCTCATCCTTCTTGAGACGCATCGCAGTGCCGGAGCCGACTCCGCTGGACTCTCTGTGATGACCAAGAGGGCGTCCATCGTGATCCTCATCAAGTGTGATCTCAGCAACGTCGGACACCGACTCGGCATCCATGCGGTCGCTGACGCCGGATTCAGACGACCCGTCGTCAGAGTCATCATACTCGCCATCGTCGCTGACAAGCGAAGGTGCGTTGTTGCTGACCATCGTGCTGGGGCTGAGGTCAACGTCCTCCATGTCGACATCCTCACCAGAGTGTATTACTACCCTGGTGGGTCCGTCATCCTTCTCGGGACTGCTCATGGGCGGCGAAGCAAAGCCCGTGGGAGGCGACCTCCCCTTGCTGCTTGTTGGTCTTGTCGACGAAGTCAGAGTGACGGGTGACATTGGTGCTCTCGCAGGCATGCGCATGGCAGGCATACGAGCAGCTGATCCAGCACTGCTCTTCGGGCTGCCGAGACCAGTCTCGGTATCTTCCGATTCCTCTCCCGGTGATGTGAGGTCTTCCAGCGACATCTTCTCCTTGGCGTCACTGACAATGTCACTGAGGTTGCCGGTGAAGTTTCTGCTCTGCATGAGTCGCGAAAGGAAGGGGGTGTCAGCCGAGGCGACGAAGTTTCCGGCCTTTGGCGTAGCGGACCTCGCAGGCTCTGCCTTTGAAGTACCTTGAGGGATGCTTGTAACGCCAGGCAGCTTGCCATCACGATACAACTTGAGGGAATCTGCGATCCTAGAACGCAAAGCAACGTACGCCTGTTGGGTGGACATGTCGGTCTGGGCAAAAGGATGGACGAGACCAGACGCGATGGCGGTTGAGGGAGGAGGCGGAGCCTTTTCCTCTCCAACAATACTGCCGCCTTCATTAACCTCGATGGGGTGACCGCAATGAACGGCCGCCTCTTCGTGGCTCTTGAAGTCTCGCCTATGGGCGATGCGGCAGTGGTTGATGAAGCCCTGAGTGCTGCTGAAGTTCTCCCGATTGCAATCCAAGCAGACGAGCTTCACAGTCTGGCCGTCGGAGCGCTTGAGAACACAAGGACCGGCCTTCTCCTTAGGCTGAGGGTAGCCGCTGGAGAGAGACTGCAGCTTCTGGCTACCAATACCCCGATTCGAGCGGCTCTTGTTTGCGCTGGCGAGATCAGACATGCTGTTTCTTGTCGTTCGTCCCTCAACTGAGCTTCTGCTACGGGCAGTCTCAAGCACTGGGTACCACTCAGGTTGCATGCCATCAAACTTGGGATCGGGAATGAGCCACTTGGCGTAATGTCGAGCGTAAGGTCCATCGACAACTCCAAAAGGCGCAGCCCATTGGGGGACAGGCTCTCCCGGACGGGTTTGCAGAGCTGGACCCTTTCCGTTGCTGATATCCAACATCTGCGCAGGGGTGGGACAGGCAGTAGGATACGGAATGAGATGGCAGCGACGGAGTTGCTCGAGAGCGACCTGACATTTTGCCAGTTCTTGGTTGATTAGCCTCAGCTCATTGTGCTTGAGCAAGATCTCAAGACCAAATTGATACTGGATAGCGTCGCGCGCGTCCTCCATGTCGTTAGTCACTGCTGGAACAGCGGCAGGCACAGGCACAGGCAAAGACGCAGATGCTGGTACGTCAGAGACGACACTGGAAGGGATGTCAGAGACGGCGAGGTCGGTGCTCTCCAGCTTGGCCCGCTTCAAGGGCTGCTCAGTGGCGATGAGTGCATCTGGTGAAGGTGAGTCGTCAACGCTTGACAGACGCCTCTTTTGAGGGCACGACGGGCCCGCCAATGATGCCGTTTGCGCAGGTTGCGGCAGAATGAACTGATGCTTCTGCGCGAATGATGGCATGGGTTGAATGTGACTGATCGTCGTTTCGCTTCCCCGCTCGCTGCTCCAGAGTGATCGGAACATAAGCGCGGTTCTCTGAGAGCAGTGAAGGTGATGGGATGAAAGGTCGCGTTGAGGGCGGCCTGACAACTTTATGCGAATGCGAGATGAGGCGCAAGGCAACAGCCTGACGAAGGTGCAATGTGGCAGTGGCGGACGGACCAGGCACCTGCAGCGTGCGACGTGGTGCTGATGCAGGCAGGGGAGCCGAAAAGCTGAGGTGCGTGCAATGCGAGCTGGCGACGAGGGCTGACGTAAACAGTGGATTCCCCAGACAGACGAGTCGGGTGTAAGCGTGTGGCTGATCTGGGCGTGGGCGAAGACGAGGCGACGGGTGTGCGGTGCGTTGGTTGGACTTGGATGATGGGACCCGAAAAGGGGTGGCAGGGGGGAGGGGGGGGGGGCGAGTGGTGCGTGATGATGTGGTCGGGCGTCCGGTCAGGAAGGCCAGAGGCAAGAGAGAGAGCCGGAGACCGAAGCAGACGAGTCGGCGACAAAGGGATGGGATTGCGACGGTCGCGCAGCGAAGACAGCAACGCAGAATAATCGAGAACTAACGAAAGCCTCGATATCGCGCAAGAAAATGGTGCGAAAATGAATGCGCGAAGAGAGTTGGGCGAGCAAAATAAGAGAAGCGACGCCTACGATGGTTCTCTATGTCGTGTGGACGAGTGGTTTTGGAGCGGTTTTGGGGGGAGAAGAGGTTGTTTGTGAGGAGGTTGAAGTGTTGGAGATGGGGATGACAGCGGAAAGAGCGAGAATAACTGTCAGAGGTCGGGGAAGGAGGCAGCTTCAGACCTCTCAGGCGGGCGACGTGCGTGAGCTTGGTGGGAAATTGGCCTCTGGGGTGGTGATTGCGAGTGCGGGTGGGCCTTGGATCCTGGGGGCCAGAGAGAGAGAGAGAAACAGAGAGCAAGGTATCCGTACGGTAGGTAGGTAGCAAAAGCAGCCAGCCAGCGAAATGGTGCCGGTAGATAGTGTAAAAGGAGATGGGCCGTGAGTTGAGCGAATTGGAAGTGTTCCTCTACGGGTGGTTCTGTTTCTCCTTCACTGATTGTTGATGGCGCAGCAGCGGTGCGGTAAAGGTATCCGTACGCGGCGGCGCAAGCAAGCATGTAGCAGTATCTCCTTAGCAGACAATAGTAACAACAAGAGAGAGGTGGACGGGGCGAGGTGGATACACAGAAAGCTGAGGTGGATGTTTTGGCGCTTTGCGCTTGTGCTTTGTTGGTGTTGGAACTTGGCGATGATGCGAGGGACCCGACTGACTAGGAAAAGGCAATTTGTGTATTGAATGCAAGGGGAGGCATAAAATGGGGGTGTATGAAAAGAAGGGGGGATGGGGTGTAAGAGGTACGAGGCGTGTGGGTGGTGTGGATGGGGATTGTGCTCCGAAACGCAATGCTGATTGGTTTGTTTGGGAGAAGGAAGGAGGGAACGACGGAATGCGCCTGTTTGGTGAGTTTGGTGACTGGCTGGTCTGACCCAGGTGTGGGGGCAACTGGTGACGGGAGGTACATACAGACAACCCGCTGCCAGGGAAGGAGGGACCAAAAAAAAGAAAAAGGAATGGAAGGCGAAGGGAAACTCAAGGAAGGAGGTGTGCAGATGCAGGGATACTGTGCAATACGACGGGGACGCTGAGCAGGGAAGGAACGGAGGTGCCCTTTCCCAGGTTCCATCCTCACTCACAAGAATTGGTACTTTCTATACGGAGCACCTAGCGTTGTGTACCTACTTACTTAGGTACCTTACTTTTGGTGGTAGGACTCAGGAGAGCAAGACCCAATCTTCGACACAACCTAAACGACACCCGGACGGTTCGGCCGTCAGAAAGGGATGCAGTAAGAGTCAGTCCTACACTTCTACTCTCCAACAAAGTGGTATTCTCTCACGTCTCTCTGTCAGCCTGACTCCTGAGCGTGTGTGTGTGTGTGTGTGTGTGTGTGTGTGTGTGTGTGTGTGCTACATGCAAGTCCTGACGCAGACGACGATAAAAACGGGCAACCAACAAGACAGCGGCAGGAGCAGCGGCAGCGACAGTGGCAGCGGCATGCGCACTGAACTCCAAAGCTGTCAAAGAAAACGAGGACAGACTGGTCAGAGAACGATGCGCTCAGAGGATAATGCTGTCCCCGAGTCCCTGAGAGTTGAGAGATGGGACGTCAGTTCCTCATAAGTCCCGTCTTCATCTGTGTCTGTGTTTGGCCTCGTCTTCCACCTTCTTTTCCAGAATCCAGAAAAATTCAGCCTGGCAAGCCGGGTGCCAATTCCCGTATTCTGTATGGCGGATGGGAATCTGATGGGACGATGAGACGGACGGGGGGCCCTTCCGAGCTTTTGCCTCGTACAACTCGTAGGCAATAGCCGGGTTCTTTCTGGCGACGCTGCAATGCGTGTTTCGCCGCCCCGAAAATAGAACGGGATTGATCAAGGTGGACGCGTCCAACAACACTGCAACTCAACTGTACCGGGTAATCAAGGTAAGGGCACAGCTATTGTGGAGGTTCATTAAAGGGATCCCCCTTTTTCGCGATAATCAAGAGTCTGACAGGCGGTACGGAGTAGAGCATAAGGAACGGGGGAAGATAAAGAGGGTGAAGGCAATGCCGATGCAACTTCGTATGAGGAGTGCAGTCTCAGGGCTGTCTATCATCACTGGCCCAGTTGCTATCTATCACGCCCAGGATCCAAATTGCACGACTCTCTGGCAAGTTGCCGATCCAACTGATTATCGTGTTTTGTTTTCAGAGGTTTCGATATGTGTCTTATCCAGCCCGCCTGCAGATTGATTAAGTAGCACCTACCTAGGCACGGCACTACGGATAGGTACATGGGCCAAGGTTCCTTAGTGAGGAGAAGAAGACGGGGAAAGCTCATGGCGTGTGTCCCGACTTGTTTTGGTTCCGTGCGAGAAACGCCTCAGCCATGTACCTTGGGGCGTGAGACGGCTGCTGCGCGAGCTAAAAGTACCTCGAGGCGTGGGAATGTTCCCACTCCACCAAAACTTCGGGTTCGGGCCTCTTTTTTTTCTCTCTGCTCCCACTGCGCCAACCGCTGTTTGCTGGATGCCTCTCCCCATACCAACATGCCTCTCTGGCCGACAAGTTCCTCCATCACGGCGCGAGGTTGGAAACGATCTCGGAAGCTGCCAGATTGTGCCTGCTGGGTGTCAACTCTATGCAATGTTTGTTGACGGACGGGACGAGGAACTCAGGATATGGCGCCGCCTGTGCCTATTCAAATGAGTCAACTTCCGCCCCTCACTTTTTGACGAATGCAAACATTCAACGACGCATCTCATTAGTTCACCATCGTCGTTGTCAAGCACGCCGCCGCGCTCACTTCTCCACGTACCTAGCGGCAGTCTCGGATCTCATTCGTCTGGATCGTAGCTTCGCCATTCCGGCTGGCCTACTAAGAAGCTGCGCCTAGTGTCCACGGCGACGGCGACGACTCCATTCATTCCGCCCCTTTCCAAATGGCATCGTGGATGTGGACTAGACTTCTATCAAGCGGCCCCAAGCTATGGGAGGCCGCGGGCGAGACCGCAGCAACACAACGTGGGATGACATGAGGAAATGGACCCCGAGAAGCAGGGTAACGCCTTGCGGCGCCCGTGTATCGCATCTTCTCATGTTCCGCTTCCTTTGCTGTCTTTTCTCTGTCATCGAAAGCTTCATGCACCATCGAAGCACCTTGATTGTTCGTCGTTCTCTCAAACCTCGCATCCATGTTTCTTCTAGAGCCCTACTCTGTGGCCTTGACGATGGCCAGCTTCACACAAGGATGGAGGAGGGATGGGTGGGTGCGACATGCAAATAGACATGGGATCGTCGCTCAAAATACGCCACGCCACCCGGCGCTGTCCAGCTCGCCTTTAGCCCGTTCTGGTTTCAGATACCTGAGCATCCCTAGCGAGGTACAAGTCAGGTCAGGATCTCGAGAATTTCGCCAGCAATACTGCGACTGAGGAGCTGGAATGAGCCAATGAAGCAGCGCTATCTTGCAACGACACCCAACGGTAACGATGCCGAGTCGCCCCGACTCAGCGGCCAAGGTCGGAACTGCATAAGTTCCTCTTTAACCCCGGGCCTCCCTGCCCTTTTCACGGCATCTACGACGCTTCTCCAGGCCTTATCCCGGGATTCCGAAGAGTGCTCCCTGGCGAAAATGGATTAATACCACTGCAGGTCGTGCAGCTCGGTCAGAACGCTGCCACGCTGCACCTCGGAAGCTTGGAAAATCTTGGAGAGAACTATCGCAGACCACTTTGGATGCTGCTAGATGACGAACTGTCGCAAAGGTCATGATTCAGTAAACTTACGAACCTTTCTGGCTCGACCTTCCATCCAGAATGCCAAGCAAGCTGTCGACGGTCCGCCAGCATCTGACTGAAGATAGTTCTGGTGGACATGTCGTGATCATTTTGATATTCGCTTTGTTTAAGCCTTCGAGAGGCTGCAACCAGAACAGGGCGCAACACGGCGCACTGCTATTCATCGAATCAAAAGAATGGCGCACTTGAAGAAGAGGCGGACCAGTTGCACAGGCCACGCCAAACATGTGAAGTCGAGAAGCCACAGAAAGACCATCAGCGCATGGGCGCCCTGTCCAGTGGACCCTTCCATCTTCCGCGGAACTAGGCCAGGTCCGGCATTGAGCGAGAGCTCGTGTCCGACCACCGCTAGGAAACATCGCTGCTTTAAACTTCTTCAACAACGAACGCTTAGTCACTCCATTACGGCATCCTATCTCGAAAGCACTTTGCCTTGCTTCCGAGGCTCAGGATATCGTCATGATATTTTCAAAAGCTCATGATGAGCCTGGCACATCATGTAGTTGTAGTGGTAGGATACAAGATGGTGACAATCATGCGCTAATCTGCCACACAGCAAGCACTTGACGAATAGTTGAGCATCAAAGACGCCATCCAATCAGAGGAAGCTCCGGGCCCTGGACTGGATGAACGTCGCGGCTCTTGGCCGGCTCTCGGCTCCGAAACATAGGTAGTCCGAGCCTCTGATCCGATAAGATCTTTATCGATAAGGTGGAGATGCAGACCACACTTTTTTACCGGTAGAAATCCCAACGTTGTCTTGGAGCTTCAATCTCAACTCCAGACTCAAACCCCACGTGGCGCATCACACCCTCGAGTCATTGAGCAGCCGCGTCTGCTATGGTCCGAGGCTTCACCAAGGCTGATCATGGCTGAACCCCCCGCAATGCAGCCCGAGGGCGACAACAAGAAGCGAAAATCCTCGAAGGCAGCAGTCGAGTCGTCCGCCGCCGTCATCTCAAAGAAGAGCAAAGCCACGAAGACCACGACGACAAACACAAGCGCAAGTTTGAGCGCTAATTTCAATGGCCCGACGACATCTCTGCCTCCCTCGCACGAAGCCCTCCTCGCGGACCTCAGATCGAAATACGACGTCCTCCCCGCCTTCACCATCTCCTCCACCAAGATCCAGAAGCGCGTGACCTGGCTGCTGCAGCACCTGCGCAAAGACGACGGCGATCCGAGGAAGCGCGCCGTGCTCGTCTACGCGCGGCCGGGCGAGGTCGCCAAGATGATTTCGATTGTGGAGACTGTGAAACGCATCATTGCGGCGGAGAAGAAAAGCGTGGAGGCACAGGGGGGTGAAGAGAGCGGCAAGTGGTATCAGTACAATCTCATGTACGAGCTGCCGCCAAAACCCGACGTCGTGGAAGAGACGGTACTAGGCGGCAGCGGCGGGGGAACGAGGGATGGTTCGGGTGACGATGAAGAAGAAGAAGAAGAAGACGATTTCGAGGTTATGGAGAGCCGGTTCGAGAGAGCTGTGCTGCCGCAGCCGGTGAAGCGTGCGGCCAAGTCGCTGAGCATATTCCTTTCGTTGGCGCCCGTACCGGAACTCAAGGCCCGAGACGACGTTACGACGCAGACGAACGCGGCGCAATGAGGTGCCAAGGCGAGCTCGACGGCGCTCTTGCTTGGGAACGTGTGGACAAGGTCGCCTGGGGATGTGTGCGAGTTGGATCTGAGGCCGTCGTGGGCTTGGGCTTCGGGCTCGTAACATGGAGACAGGAACGAAACACAGAGGCTCACGAGTAGTGAAGTTGCGAGATGTCGGTGGCAGGCGCTACCATCATTCACATTGCATAGACAGGCGTTTTAGGACAGGAGTTGGCTACCAGTTGATACCCAATCGGGCGGGACGAAGTCGATGTCAAAAGCTCTGAATTCGTTACAAACTCAAAACAAATAGACGTCATTGGCAAGTGTCTTGGAACCTTCAATGCAATCCTTTAAGTGCTTAAGTATTCATGCGAAACTGTACCCATCTAGTGATGACATGCTAGCAACAAGCTTCCAGCAAATGTGCAGCATAGATGTGTTTTTGGCATGTTTCCGACGCCTATTCCGATGCATTCGCTTTTCCTATCAACTATACACCCTCGACATCCGCTTTCTGTTCGCGTACGCCTAAGCTAAACATGAGAAAACTGCCAAATTATAAAACCATGCAAACTTGTTCTCAAAACAGCAAATCCTTCGCTCCCGACTCTCAATCCTTCCTCGTACATACGCCTTTGTCGTGGCTTGAGCATTTCAGCAAAAGCCCGCCTCTCCGGGTTCGTAAGGCCCAGATTAATAACACCTAGGGTTAGCTCCCGTTTCTCGCTCCTCTGCTTCCCAAAGATGTCTCCGGAATTCCGAACAGGGGCTAGAAGTAGCAAGCATCTTTACTCGTACATTTTAGTGCTTTCCCTCCTTGGAGGAGTACGTTATGCGGAGGACAAAGTTGACAACGACGGCCAGCAGCAGGATGATGGCCAAAAAGGTGGGACCGAAGCGGTCGTCAAAGCCGGCCTGGCCGCGAACGCGGATGGATTTCGCGCGCCAGTGGTACGTGGCCAGGGCGTAGATCATGGTGAGCATGGCGACGCCGGTGAAGAGGAAGGCGCTGATAAAGGCCGGGCGGTCGCCAAAGTTGAGCATGCCGATGGCGAGGGCGCCAAGGATGACGGTGAAGTTGAGCCATGAGAGAAAGGTGCGCTCGTTGGCGAAGAAGACCTTGGGCTCGACTCTCGTAGGGAGGGCGATGCGCTTGCCTGTCAATGCGGCTTTGTCAGTGACCTATCTCTTTCTCTGGTTTATATGCTTGTTCGGGCACTGCTGTGTACGGCGTCGTGATTGTACGTACCCGGAGCGGTCTGGAGGAGAGGTTGGCTAGACATTGTGATTTGCTATTTCTGGCTGGACTGTCTCGAGTATAGGTATTGTGGTTTGCGGTCGTGGCTTTCTGTATCGCAATCTGAACTGGTTCAGTCGACCGTCTTTCGTCTTCTCGCGCAGTATGCCCAGTTTCCTACCCCTAGTCTACTGTTTACTGTCTCGGCAGCGATGACCAGAATCCCTGAGGAGAATGGCAAGGCGAAGTCGGAGAATTGCAATTGAGGCGTCGTTGGAGGGCTCGGGCTCGCGTCGGGCTAGTCGTCGGAACCGCAACGATGTTTATCGTGACAAGGGGGCAGATGCAAGCGAGTCGCGCAATGTCAACTGCTTTGTCTTCTACAGTCTCGCTATTTTTCGTCTGAACAATCGGGGAAAACTGTATCAGGGATATCAACGAAAAGAATGCGGAGATGGAGGTGAGAGAGAAGGGAGGAAGGAGAGGAGGAGGAGAGAGAACGAGAGAATCTGTAACCGAGAGAACCCGCTTGAAAGCTTGTTCAGATACGACCACAGACGATGCACCTGCACTGCAGCCGACTAGCCCCTCAAAAGCCGCTTCCTTAAGAAAAAAAAGCTCCATTGCAGAGCAGACTTGTGACGCTAAGCCTGCACGGCGTGCACGGCTAGAGCTCACCTCCCCACCAGCCACAATGCAGATCCATGTCAATTGCCTGCGAACTTCTGCAGCAAGGTACACGTGCAATTCAATCGCACTTTGATTGGGGAAGCCACACTTGGAGAGGTCAAGCCTCAGCAGGGGCCATGAAGATGTGGCTGAAGTGAGACCTCTCGATGACAGAGACACGTGACCTCTCGTTGCCCCGCGCACCTGGGGAGCACGGCCCGTGGATGCAACGCGAGGCGGCCGAATCGGGCTGGCATCACAACACTGGTAACTTTTTGTGGAGGAGCCTCATCTCTGTCGTCTTGTCCCGATCTGTCAACATAACCTCTTCACCACTTACATACAATCGAGATATTGACACAATTGCTCCAGAACACTCGCACACCTCCTACCCCAGAAAACCTCACATTTAGCAAAACCAGCAAGCGCACACAGCCTTGGAACAATACAGCACCTCTCTGCCCCTTTCCCAAACAAAACATCCGATCACAATGTCTGCGCCCGCCGCTCCTACGACAGCGACTCCCGTATGTTGACTTCCCCCCACGCTAAGATCTTAAAGGACCGCTTACTGACTCGATCTTGACAGCCCGTCGCCTTCAACCGTCTTAAGCAGATTGCTACGGATGTAAGCTGCCCATGCGACACCATCGTCAACGTCGCCAAAACATTTGGAGATAACCCGCTGACCCAGTCTCGTTGACAGGCTTGCCAATCAGCCATCGGCTCTGCTGAGTTCTACGATCACGCTAAGACCGAGACATGGAACTCTCAGATCATTGTATGTTTTCTCCCTGCGTCTTATGACAGTCCCGCCACTCAGAGATTCCATAAACTAACCCTCGCGAACCTCGTCAGTCCTCCGTCCTGAAGGCCGTCATCTCTGAGTCGACACCCCAAGGCGGCTCCGCGCCCGCATACAAGTTTGCCTGCAACTCCACAATCGTCCAGCACCTCGTCCCGACGTCCTCCCTCAACAAGTCCAAGGGCACCTCCGTTAAAGAAGAGGAGCCCTCCGTCTCCACGAGCGCCGATGCGACCGCCACTGACGGCAAGCCCCACGTCGGTCGCCGCGGCATGCACTCCGCCACCGGCGCCTACTGGGACGAGAAGAAGGACGGCATGTGGTCCTACAAGTACGATGGCGGCGAGGGCAAGGGCATGGACGTCGTGATCATGCTGATTTGGGTCGCCATCTAAACGATGATGACATCAAGGCTCAGTACTCGAGGTCAGAAACAGGGGAGACAATTGACCCAGCGTGCTGAGGTCTGCGTCCACCCTTATCCTCGTCTGCCTTTCCAAAATTACAAACCACATGGGCCCATTTGCAAGAACGGAAGCCTTATGGAAACTGGGTCGGCGCATGGAGCGCCCTCAAATGGGCCATAATGAGAGCCGCCTGGCGACCAAGCCGTAGTGGCATCATCCCCTTAAATGGGCGTCCAGCTTGAGAAAGGATGAAGTGCACCTTCTTGGTCCGAATTTCCCTTAGGTTAACCAGGCATATACGGCGAACGGGATTGCGCAAGGTCTATTCATGTGTTTGAGTTGATTTTGTCCCCAAACCACGAAAAATAGCCGGAGTTCTTCTTTTTTTTCTAATGAGAATACATGCAAATCACGAGACTCGCGCTCCAGGCTTGTACCAGACGACAACGGCTTTGTCTATGTGTTTGTTGAATTCGTTGTCATGTGGTACATCAGTGCATTGCACGACTCGAGGTCGCATCCTTGCAATTCGAGATGTCATTGTTATGCATCTCTTAGCCTTCGCCTGACGCCTATAAGATCTGAGCCATGCCAATATCGCAATCAGTGTATGGTGTGTGGCAGGCTATTCGGGTATAGCTACCTCCAGCATAGGGACGCCAGACTCATGGAACTCGATAGTCTGTGAATATATCTGTGATTATATCTCGTGTGGCAACCAATGCTTTCAAGGTCTATCGACGAAATGAATCGGTGGCGCCCGCCGCAAGTAAATTCAGTATACAGCATTTACACATATTTGATGGAATTGATTATGGAGCTGAAGTTACGGGTTCGGTCACTGGTGGCAGCACACGGGGTAGAAGAGACACGGTCCTTTTTTCGATGACATGCTGCCCAGGCCGCGGCAATGTCCAGGCACTCTTCAACCAAAGAAAGATAAGGCATTGGACCATGTTGATCTTTTGCTTTTTTTCACGCTGTATCTACTTGAGGTATACTAACATCCGAACCTGCTCACCAATCGGGCACGTTGACGAACTAGCTTTAACTGGACTTTTCTCTCACTATCTTTCTTAACTTTTTATTTTGCCTTCCGGCGAAAGCGTCAGCACACTTTTTAGTCTCCAGGTCTAGGCCAGCGTGCGTGGCCAGGTGCCTTCTATGAAAAGCTTGGTGTCGACGAAGGAGGGTTGCAGTACGAAGAAAAGAAGAATCCCACGGTTACACAAGCACGCGAGTCGGGAATAACCCCTTCGGGAATTGTTGGGACGGACGGGTCCTTTGAAAAGACGTTGTCGTACACCCTCTCCGGCGAGAACGAGCATGCGCCGGTAGCGGAGATGGTAAATATCACGGGGAAGAAAAGTTGTCTAGGTTTTGGGCGTGACGGAAATATCTGACCTTGCCTCGACAGATAGGCAGGTAATGGAAACAATTCCGTTGGTTAACGTGAAGAGAGCCTTCCCCGGCCGTACCGCTGTCCAGTTTTTGACATACTCATGTAGGAATGCGGCGTAGTTTTCAACTCCATCATTTCATGACGCGGTTTGAGATGTCGCTAGAACACTCGCGGCTGCTAGAACGGGTAGGAGGGCGGCCAGAAGTCAGATCATGCCCAGCTGACAGCTCTGCCATGAAGTATGCTTGGATGACGGCACACAATGTAAGCCGACTACCCTGACCTGATCGGTGGGCGCCGACGGCGGGAGTGGGCGCGGGAGGTGGTGGGGGACGGAAGCTTTGCTGTAAAATGGAATAACCACATCAGATCCATGAACAGAATGGTATCTAAGGTTGTTGTTGTAAAGGTACCTTAGGTTAGGCAGGCTCTGGCAAGTTATCTTGTGTAACTTTTCGGTATGTTTCCACAATGCCTCTCCTAT